TATGACTCTATGATTCCATAATCAATGGAATCATAGAATCATAGAATCATTAAGGTTGGAAAAGATCTCTAAGATCATCAAGTCCAACCATCCAACTACCACCAATATTGCCGACTGCACCATGTCCCTAAGCATCACCAATGGCTAATCTTGGGGGGTTGCCATGCAGGAAAGCTGGTGGGTCTTTGATCATTTCTGTATTTCCCATACAGATTGGATGATCATAAGGAACACCATCCCTTTTAGGGGCACTGCATATTGGTGAGACTGAAAGTCTTACATGCAAAATACTTTAAAATACTTTGGAAAAGTATGGTCTTCTTTTGATGTGACTTGGCATTGAAATAACAATATTTTGTGTTCATCTAACTTAACCTATTCAGTTCTCTAAGCAGGATTAGTCAGTGCTGGTAAATGTTAAAAACAGCAACAAGTAATCCATGATAGGTACATCCCCTGATGAAGGCAAATGGAGATTCACTCTGATAACAATGCATTCGTCTTCAGTGCCTTACAACTATTTCACAAAGATATTTACCGATAAATGACACACAGTTTTTGTGCTCCTCCAGACCCTCATCGTGGGTGAGACGTGAATACAAAATTTCAGTAAGCCTGGTGCGCAGAATGAGACCACAGAGGTTTCTGTGAAGAAGTTCCCACTTTATGTACTGAAATTGAATCTACAAAAATGAGTTATTGTCCCTTGTGTTTGTATCAGCATTCATTGCTTGGTCATGAGATATATTACAGAGTCTGGGGATTGGCAAGGGCTGTTTGTAAAAGATAATTACTGGGAGATTTCTGTGCCAGATGCTCCCATATCCATACCCTGTCCTGCTGCATCGCTCTTCAGAAATTGCAGTTGATCTTGGTGCAATATTCCTGTCTGATACATCAGGATACTAAAAGGTTGCTATGATGCTTTTAGAAACCTGGAAATGACATTGTCTAGTCTGGATTTTGTAAAGAAGTACTTTTGTTTATTCTGCTGTTGCTTGGGTTGAGTTGAGGGAGATTTCCTATAACTGTCTGGCCTTCAGGACACACCTGTGAAGGGTTCCCTCCTCCCTCTATAGGGTGTGCAATGGGTAAGGATAACTATTTATGCTGCACGTGGAGATTTAGAGAGGGTATTGCTGGCATCACCATGGGAGAAGTGCTCTGATTGTCCAGTGGGGAGCTGTGATAAAGGCAATAAACGTCCTGGTAATTAGTGACATTATAATAGCTATGCATTTATCAGCAATCTGTCACATTTTGCAGGTGGCATAAGACATAAATTAGATCAGCTAATACCAGGGCAGACAGTCAGGGACTTCCGAAGGATTTAACTGAGCCAGATGAGTGGGCAGCCTGATGACAGATAAAATGGGCCATCAATAAAAGCAGAGGCCTAACACCAAAGGTAACAACTGGAGCTGCTCGGGTCACTTGACTGAGAATTAATTGCAGCAGCTCGGGAAAGGATCAGATATCTGATTCCTGTTACTGTGTACCAGAGATCTGAAAAGCAAACATGGGAGTTGAACAACCATCCAAACCGGTTGAGGAAATACTTGTTCCCTCGCTGCAAAATCAGCTGGGCTGTGCTGTACCACTGAGCTTAAAATGCTGGATACTGGCAAAGTCGGGGTGCCTAAGTCTGACTGGCAAATAACATCAGTTATTATTTGCCGTGCTGAGGCAAGATGACATTGACAAAGACCTTCCAGGGCAAGGAGAGCTCCTGGTGGCTGCAGGAAGCAGGAGTGATTCAGCCCAGCTGTGTCTGGAGCAATGGGTCCCCCCAGAACCTTCCAACCACCAACACTTCCTTCCCCCTCTGCTCTCCAACCTTTGTCGTGTGGTTTGCAGCCACATGAAGACTTTTGGATGTAGCTCACAGCACTGAGGAAAAAAAATATGTATAGGAAAAAGAAGTGTCTGTGGCTAAAAAGGATAGCCAGATATTTGCAGCAGAAAATAGTAAAACCTAGACCTCCTAAAACTTGCAAAGGAATAAATACTTGATGGTTTTAGGTTTCAGCTAAGTTCAAGGGAATGAGTTATGGCAAAATTTGATGTAGTTTGGTGTTACCCCAACTCCTGACAGCTGCTGGGGCCGCCTGCTCTCTGTATGGGAGGCAGTGCCATGGCTGTGCCAGTCCCCTTGGCCCTGAGAAGTGTCTGTAGTGGTTGCAGGAAGCTCAACACGTGTGCATTTGCTGGCAGAGCGCAGCAAATGAGCTTTCAAAAAATGCACGAAATAATGGAATTTTCATCCTTTCAGTGTGTCTGTTTCAAAGAGCTATTTCCAAATTAGTCTCTGAGCTCATAATGACCAGTTAGCCTCCTGGGTTTCAAATCATCTCAGCATTAGATTGGAGCCGTGGCACCATAGGAGGTTTAAGTTGCTAACTGCAGGATTATGAATTCCACAACGCTCTAGAAGGGAAGCACAGATTTGCTGACACAAACTCCAACTGTGGATATCAGAGGAATCCGGTTACAGCGCACGCAATGGAGCAGGAAGGTCCCTTGTCCAGGGTAAAATCTTCACGTGAAACGAGCTGTCATTGATTTGTTGTTCTGATGCAAATCATATGAGCGTATGAGATCCGCAGAGAAACCAGCTTCATATTGAAGCAATTATCTCCATAAACATATCACAGCCTCCAGTGCAGACAGATGGCGTTTGCAGCAGTCCCTGCATTATGGCAGCCTCACCTGCCTTGTTCCTCCCCATTTGGTTCAGTATTTCTTTGTATTACCTTTCCTTCTCTGCTTCTCTGCTCCGTGAGATGTAGAAAAATGTCTGCACTGAAGGATGGCTCAGATAAACTGCAGGGCTAATTTCAGATTAAATCACATGTCACTTTTTATCCAGGGGAAGCCAGCCCTGATAGCTTTAATGAGGCCAACAGAAGGACTGCTGGACACAAAGGGCTTACTTAGAGGTTTCCATGTGAGAGTGTAATTAAGGGTAGTGCAAGTACAAGGCTGATAAAGGTGCAATTTCATTTTTTAAATGGCAATGTGATTACCAGCGCAGTGACAGAAAGGAGAGGTGGGAGGAAGCCTGAAACACGAGTTGGAACAGAAGGATCAGGATTCCTGGGTCCCTTTTGTTGCTTTCCCATTAAATCACTGACTGGGTGAAGGAGGGCCATTGGCCACCCTTGGCCATTAATTACAGCTGCACTGAAAGAAGCAGGGATGTTGGCCACCCTTGGCCATTAACTATGGGTACCCTGAATGAAGGAGGGCCATTGGCCACTTTTAGCCATTAATTACAGGTACCTTGAATGAAGTAGAACCATTGGCCACTCTTGGCCATTAATTATGGGTACCCTGAATAAAGCAGGACCGTTGGCCACTCTTAGCCATTAATTATGGGTATCCTTGTATCTGTAAGGTTAAATGGTGAGAGCTGGACAGGGCTGGAGGCTGTGTGTGCTCCTCAGACACCAGCTCAGTCCTCCTGGCCACCTCACAAGAACCTTGCTATAAGGTCTGTTTGGTGGAATAGAAGTTACCTGTGTGCTTCCTAATGAATGAAATGAAATGGGACCAAGGACACACGCTTTCTCCCTGGGTAGGAGATGAAAAGGTTCATGCAGTGTGTCCTTGCTTTAAAAGTTACTTGCTTGTGGGTAACTGCAGTGTAGTTTCTTGGATGCACACTGTGCAGAACATACTGCTGTCACCATCTCTTCTCAGGGCCAGATTCGTGATCTTTGTGTATATTTTACTCCGTTTCAAATGGTAGTTGCCTTTTTTTTTTTTCTTTATGAACACTTTATTTTTTTTTTTTAAGCCACACCTACATATTTAAGCACTTGAGCATACCTTGTACTTTGTGCTGCTGTTCCTCTTCAGTTTCTCTCCAGAGCAAATGTGGTTTTCTCCCCATCCTGATTTGGAATAGACTTTATCAAATTCTAGAGAGTGGCTGACATTGCTGTGTGTCTTTGGGTCCCCTGTTACAATGCTCTGGAAGGTCTTATTTCCAAGTGTGGATGTTCAGGGCTTTTGGAAGACCAAAAAAAAGTCGTATTTCATATTGGATGGAAAAAAAAAAAAGGTTACAAGAAGTACCGCACAACCATTTGGCCTCTTTGGGAGCCAGCTTTGTGTTATGTTCTTCTTGTGCTGCACGTAAGGAAATTACAGACTCCATTTGCTAAGCTGCAGGAGGCTAAATGATTGGTCTCACTTGCAAATATTTTTCAAACCTGTATCATGCGGCCTTCCCTATGCGCAAATACGTGGACAGAAAATAAATGAATTTATAATGTGGAGGAAGGATGGCCGATTTGGGTAAATCCAAGTCATGATATTGTGCCAAAGATAAGAGCCTTGAGTCTGTGGTCATTTAGAGTAAGTATGATATAGTTTTTACAAACGGTATTTTCTTGCATTGTGTCCATTCTGGGTGTCTCTTATTTTAGCAAGAGCTGTAGTGCAGGTTGTTTATTTTATGCCAGGCGCAGTGCAGCACAGTAGTTGTTTCCAATGGCTTTTGCTGTTGTCCCAGTGGGTGTGAAGACTGTGTCACAAGAGGTTTATCTGGGATGGGCTCCTCAGTTCATTGCAGAGGATGGTGACAGTGTGCATATTTTAAATCACAGCACAGCTGAGAGAGAGAGATGATTCAGGCCATGGGTTGGACTGTGACGTGTATTATTCAGACTGTTATGAGTGCTTTGTATTTGAGGATGGGGAAAATCAGGACATTTGGGTGATCCCGTGACTTGACCTCAGGCTTTGGGCTATTTGTCTGTACAGAGAAAGGCATAAAACATTAGAAACATGTTCCAGAAGAGGAAGAAGTCCTCCAGGCAAAAGATATTTTGTGTTTAGCCTAATTACCCAGAGCTAGCAAATGGTAATTGAGACTGGTGGTGTCAATAACATGTTAAATTAACCCAGGAAAGTTGTGACGACTACTGTTGAGGTGGGAATATTCTTTTTTTTTTTTTTTTTTTTTTTTATATCATGACACCTGTTGCTCATAGGTACAAATCAAACGAAGAGTATGTGTATGTGCGAGGCCGTGGAAGAGGGAAGTATGTATGTGAGGAGTGTGGAATTCGCTGCAAGAAACCCAGCATGCTGAAGAAACACATTCGCACGCACACAGACGTCAGGCCATATGTCTGCAAGTACTGTAACTTTGCTTTTAAAACCAAAGGTAAGAGACAGTCAGCTCCTAGCTCCTCTACTCAGTGTATTGACTTCATGGGATGCTTGCAAAGGGGAAGGGAAGGCCTTCCCAGGGCTGGAAAACCCCATGAGGCAGAGGGAGGGGGATGAGGGAGTCCAAAATGGGCTGGAATTACCCAGCAGCACAAGCCCTGAATCTGATGCGCGTCCCGAGTCTGCTCCATCCTCTTGGTGTTTCTTAAAGGAGAAAATTGAAAGCACAGTTTTGCTGCCAGGGATTTGTGAACAAAATCACCCTAGAATGAGGACGAGCTGCTGGGTCCCTGGGCAATCCCTGGAGACTGGGATTGGGTGGCTTTGTATGCTCGTGCTCTCGGTATTTGCGCTGCACATTTTCATCCTTGGCAGTTGCATGCAACTTCAGCATTTTCTGTATCATATGAGCAGACCTTTTCTCTAAAGACCTCCATCCCAGGTCATCTAGTCATTAGTGACCCACAGCCTCACTGCCTCCAGCTGTTCTTTGCAAGCAGCCTCCATCATTGCCTCAGACCTTGTGCAAGTAGAACATGTCAGGAACATGCAAAACAGCACGTGAAAAAAATGAAAGTCTTTTCCCATGGACTTTGGGGAAAGTTGTCAAAAGTTCCAGAAGGGCCCAAATCCTTTGATCTCTCCTGAGAGTCTGGCACCACGGCTTTCACAGTTCTGCTCTCCATCTTTAGTTGTATTGAGTCTTGCAATAAAGATGCTGAGTTTGGTGTCTCCCTCATAGCTCAACCTAAGTACAAAATGCCCATCTTCTCTAACCTTCTCAAACCTCAGAAAACTGCAGAGCTGGCAGAATTGATTTCTCAAGAATAGCATCCCAGAAACCCCCTACTACCCAAGAAAGAGGCACAGCAAAGACATGGGAGGAGGCCTGGGTGCTGCATAGGCTGTGTCATGCCTGCTGGCCCAGAAATGCCATTGGTGGCCATGTCTGTGCCTCAGTGCTAAACAAGTGATCCTGCTGCTGGGTGAGTCACTGGGGCCATGCCCGGGGCTGGAGGTTAAGTTGTTGGGGATTTCTGGGTAACAACGTGTTGGGAATCAGCAAGTGTATGTGGGCATGGGGAAGTGATACCATGTTTGAGGCCAAATTCTTGTCACACACAAGCAGCAGATCCAAGCCATGGTTCTTCCTCTCCTTCCCCACCTGGAGCTCTCCCTGATCCATTTTCTTTCTCTTTCCCTCTTGCTTTGGTTCCTTTGTTCCAAGGTTTTCCTTTGAGAGGTGAATACATTCAACCTCTCCCATCACTTCACCTTGCTTTCCATCATGCTTCCGTTAGGCCTTTGTTCAGGGTGATGAATCCATCCTTTCCACCATCTCTCTTGCTGCTTTGCTCTCCATCTCTGCTGCCTTGAAGCACACCTGCAAATAGATGCTTGCCTCCAAAGGATTTCCCTTCTTCAGCTTACTGGGGAAGGTAGCATGGGAATGCTTCCTTCCAAAATCAGTTTGCTCTGGGATTTCAATGCAAAACTATCCATTTGCATATGGGTGCATGAGGGGGGCAGAATTTACTGGGATGAGCGATTTTAGGACAAATGGTTGCATGATGGTAACTTGGAATTGCATGAACACGGCTCCTTGTTGAAAGGGGGGGAGGGGCTGACAGCCAGAGCCCTGCAGGCATGCCCATACTGCACATAACTTTGCAGCACTTGGATAAAATCTGTTTGCTTTGCTGATGGCAGCATAAGGACCTTTGAAACTGTTATTGGAAAGCAAGGGGGAAAAAAAAAATCATCCTTGTGTGCTGATAACATCATCAATTAAAGCCCAGTTGTAGAATTGTTGCAGTTGGTGATGGTGCCTTAAACAGAGGTCTGGTTTGCAGAACTAGAGGTTTCACAGCTCGTTTTGCAGACGTCTAGAAGAAGTTGGTTGGGGCCCTGATTCATTAGGATCCCCCTTCCTGGTGGGCAGTTTTGCAACCACAGTTAATTGCAGAATGGAGAAGCTGGAGCTCTTGCTACCGGACTGTGCTTGCAAAAATATAAGCTGAGCTGAAGCTCTTTTAGAAATCAGCTTCTCAGGGGTAATTTTAGCAGTCAGTGTAAACTCAAGGGGAATATCAATGGGGCTGTCTTCATTTTGGCTGTGGTAGATCTCTCCAGCATGATCTAATGCTCAAAGTTCTCAACTAGGCTGGAAGCGGTTGAATGTTTTTTTTTTTTTTTAATTATTATAATTTTAATGAGGATCCTTATCTGGTTAAAATGTGCCCCTCTCCCCCCTTGAAATTCCATACTTACGTTCCAAGAGCTGGGAAAACTTTTTGCAAAACAGCGAGCTTTCAGTATTTCCCCCTGCTCACTAATTATGCTGTTTGTCTGCTTTTTGTGCATCTCTTTCATTGCAAGCAAAGCTGTTCCTCCAAGTTACAGAGCTGCAGGGAAATGGTTTTTTTTATTATTATTATTATTTTAAAGCAATTCCATGAGATTATTTTATTTTATTTTATTTTTCCTGTTCACTCAGTTGATGGAAACAGCAGCCTTGGAAATTTGGTTATTGTAATTTGGTTTGATTTTACATTTCTGGATGAGATATCAACATGCCTCTTTAATGAGGTGTCTCTACCTCCGCTCTGTAGCAGTGCTCTCCTGTGAGGTTTGATGCTGTGGCCTCAGAGAGGTTGTTTAAAGCAGTTAAGCTGCTTCTTCATTGTTTCTTACCGTGAGGAAGGTGCAGTCCAGCAGTTTTCCCATTAGGAATGACAAAGAGCTTCCACCTGTCCCTGTGTCCCTGCCCTTTCCCTTCCATGGGTGACCCAGGGTTGGGGCAATGCTGAATTTCCCACCCTGTGCACACACTGTCCTCTCCCACAGCCGTTGTTTGCTTTCAGACTCGCTGCACGTCTGGATTGCTTGACGTTTCTTAAAATTTCTGGAAAAACCACGTGGAGCAGCAGGCTGCATCCACGTCTTTGTGCAGAGGTCAGAACGGACGGAGAGCTCTGCGCTCATGTAAGGAGTGTTGGCTGGAGATCCCCGTTTGACAGTCTGCTCCACTCCCAGCTCCCAGACGCCAGACTTCTCCATGTCCTCAGCCATCGCCCTTAATAAATTAGCTCTCAGTTCCTTAAATCAGCACACGACAGGCACTGGGGTTATTGAACGTGCTAATGTATTGAATGCGTTACCCCTCAAGCCCTTAAAGGCTGGGTTATGGCTGCTCAGTTTATTATTGTTATTACTGCTGTACAGACTCAGTGCTCTGCTAAGCTTCTCTGGAAACTCCAGAGCAGGTCCAACTGGCGGAATGTTCCAAAGAATTAACTCAGCTAAAGCAGGGCAGAGCCACGGCCGCATTGCCAAGAATCCCTGCACTGATGCTGGGAACAGAGAAGGACCCATTGGTCCAAGCAGGAGGAGAAACACTGAGAAAAGGGCAAAAAAAATAAAAATAAATAATAAAAATAAAAGGAATGAAGGCTGAAAGTCGAATTCAAGTGAAATATTAGGCAGCTATTAAGCTTCCGTGGGAAATGTGCTAATTCTCTTCATTTCGAAGCCCAGCCTTGGGACCCTTCTGGAAGATCAGTTAGCACAGGCTGATGACACGCTCCAGAAGATGGCTGGCATTTCATAGCCTGTATCCACGCAGGATGGGTGCTCAATTCTCTCCTTTAATCTTTTAAGTCAATATAAAAAGATAACAACACCATTTAAAAGAAATTTGAACCTTTTGCCCAAGAAATGATCCAAATTAAAGCATTTCTTCTTTGAGAGCCTCAATGGGGGACATCATAGAATCGTAGAATCATAGAATCATAGAATGGCTTAGGTTGGAAGGGACCTCAAGGATCACTAAGGATCAATACTAGACCAGGATGCCCAGGGCCCCATCCAACCTGGCCTTGAACACCTCCAAGGACGGGGCATCCACAGCCTCTCTGGGCAATCATCTCCATACAGAGAACCTGTGCACTATTTAAGTCACACGTAAACCCTATTTGAAGGGTTTATCTGGGATGAGGAGCATTGCCTATTGCTTATCCTCTGGGTGTGAACATCTCTCACAGCAAAATGGGAGTTGCCAGTGACGGAGTAGCTGTTGCTCTCCTTCCATGCTATTTTAAAGGAAGGATATGAAAACAACTCAAGTCCTGGAAAGCAGTATCGGTGTCACAGAGTTGCCTTGGAAGCCAAGGTCATGCTGTTGGGTATTTGTTGGAATTTATTGTTGTTAAATTGTTCACATTTAATAGGAGAAACAGAAAGCACGGTGTGCGTCCAATGTGGACAAGTTAATTTTTTCCACGAATCTTAATGCTTCCGTCCCCTGATTTTTATTTTAACTCCACCACCTTTAAAATATTATAATGGATGTTCTGAAGAATTAATTTCCCTCTTTTAATTTAAATGGAAAATCACTTCTAGTCCCTCCTAAGCTGCTTTTGGAACAGCGCAGTTTTAGCTTTCTCAAAACAACACAAGCATTTAAGCTGCTTTAAGTCCAGAATAAGACCTCACAACAGCAGAAGAGCTCAAGCAGCCAGCAGCACATAGTTGTATGCAGGCGTAAGAGAGAGCCCATCCCCGTGCTGCTTCAGTGCTCGGGGTGGGGGGAGGCACCATTTGCACAGTTTCCCAAATTTATTTTGATATAATCAACGGATTTCAAATCTGGGAGCTCCTTCTGAACCTCAGTAAGGATCACCCACTTGCTTAGGATTGGGTTTGACTGTTCTGCAGCCTAAACTCTCTCTGCTGGTTTCCCTCTTGTTCCTTCAGATATGTTTCCAGCTGTTTCCAAGGAAGCAATGTTATTATTATTATTTTGTTTTGAGTTAGGAACCAGCACTCAGCAAGGCAGCAAGTAGCTGAGTCTTTCCTTTTAGGTTCCATGTCCAGCTCTCACTTGGGCAAAAGTGTTGATTTTACTGGAAATGTGCTGAAGGACATTTAATTAAAGGGTCCTAAAACACAAACAGTTGGAAGAATCCTGATAAGATAAATTTTCTCCTCCTCCAAATTGCTCCCGAGATGATAACTTTGCTTCTTGCTTTAAAGCAGCTTCCAGCTTTTAGCTTCCGTGAAATGATGCAAACGGAGCTCAGATGGGAGTCCACCCCCTGAGCCTCCCTTCCCATGAAGGCAAGCAGCTTTCCCAACGTTGTGGGACTCTGTGCTGGGAAATGCCCCCACCTGGGGGGCTGCCACAGACAGCTCTGCACCCTCACCTTTCCCATTTATGTGTGGGCATTTCCCAAAGTAACCCAGCAAGGATGAAAAGAGAGGGGAAGAGCAGAGTAGAAAGTAGTAGAAGGGGAAAACAAAGCAACACTTGCAATGAGCTGCACTTTGGGATTTGGCACACATTCACTTGCACAGGGATTTTTAGTGTTTTTTTGTTTGTTTGTTTTAGTGTCGCTTTGCTCAAAGCATTACATCCCCCTGAATAACTCATGCTTTGCCCTGATAAATCCAGATGTACGTATCGCAGTGGATTTATGAGCTTGTCTGAGGATGTGCTTGGTGGTCCCCAGCCATGCAGCCACTGTTCCTGGGGTACCACAGCATAACCATCTCCCCCAGCTCCCACCAAGCTCTTGCTGGGGTTTATTTACTACGTGTGCCAACCAGTCAGATATTTTGCTGTAGCACTGAGCAAAAATGGGTCATTTTTGGCAGCGAGATGCAATGCATTGTGATGGACAGGCAGCAGCAGGGTCTGATTGCAGCAGGCTGAGTCAGATTGTCTTTTTGGTAGTTCGGTCCAAAATTAAATTCCAGCTCCATGAGGTCAAAATTTTGAACTCCTTGGATACTCCTTGGCACAACAGCTTTTCATTTACAAAAAATGGCCATTCACTGGAACCAGAGGCATCCGTGAGAATGCACTTTTGTCCCACTGGGTTGCTTTGGGCCCACAACAAAACTCCTGCTCCAAGTCAGAGAAAAAGCTCCGAGCCAACATGTCTTCATCCTCACACCTGAGCGTCACACTGTGGGGCTAAGAGTATGTTGGCGTGAAGTTTTAAAATAATAAATCCCTCTTACTGCAACTAAATTATTAAACACCCTTTTGGAGCAAGAATCATATCCTCATCCTAGATGGGTGCCAGATACGTGAGGATATAGAGTCAGCCTTTGTCCCTCTTTCTTGGTCTTTCCTGTTGGAGCCATTCCATTCCCTATAATAAAGGCTAAATAAATAATTAGTGGGCTTGGTAGGGGGAGGATTGTGACACCCCTCTGAGCTGTGAGGGCATCACAGGTGCAGCTTATTTATTTATACTCACTGGAGCAGCACAAGAGGGGTTGGTAGAGGTTTCCCTACGTCCCACCCAGCTCTGGGACCAGGTTACTCTGTAATGCAGGAGACAACCTTTCATTTTTTTCTTTCCTTCCCATCTATTTTCATTTTCCCCTTCGACAGAGGTTCAGCGCTTCCCTGGTGGATAAGTAGGGTTAATAACTGTCTAATTAACCTGCCTGCAGTTTGGGAGTTAGGATTAGAGAGCTTTTCCCCAGCCGTGTGCCTGTGGGTTATCCCAGCTCAGGGCAGCAGGGAGCATCCCACATCCCATACCCCCTTTTCAGGGGCTGCTCTCCCCACCCCCAGCCCCAGGCAGCCTCATTAGTGTTCAGCAGGCTTGCTCATGATGCCCAAAGTTGGTGCACAGGATTTGGGAGTACCTGTGGCTCCTGCTCTGGGAGCTGAGAGCTTTTTCCTACTGCTGCTTTGCTGCGTGGCAGCCCACCAGAGCCATCCTGTGCAGTTGTAGGGATGTGCATCTGCATTGCTTCACTCCACACAGCTCCTCATGCATGTAGCCTTGAGTAAGTACTAGCATGGATCAAACTGCCCAGAAGCCAACCCCAGGCTCACTCCCCAGCCCAACAAACTGCTCCTCAGGGTGGAAATGGCATTTCCCAGCTGACTCCACTAATTACTTTTATCTACAGCTGTATCCAGCTGTTCAGGCAGAGGCAGGCAAGGGTCGTTCCAGAGTGGGCTGCTTTTTGTCCCCATTGCTGGCATCTGGAGTGCTCTTTTTGGTAGCACTGCTCTGCCCCAGGCACGTCCCAAAGCTGAGACGTGAGAGGTGTTACCCACTGTGCTGCACTGGGGAGTATCTTCCTTGTCCCTGCTTTCTTACAATTGTTCTCAGTTGCACCATCACTGACAGCAATCCAGGACCTTTCTTCCTCCCTAAAACCAGTGCATATCTGTGGTGGCCTATCAGGTGTTTAGTCTTGCAACATGGGATACCTGCACTGGATAGTGGCCTGGGAATAGTCTGAGAATCTCCTTATCTGGTTCAGAGCCAAATTATTAAATATGCTACTGATGAGCTTGCAAAAAAAAAAAAAAAAAAAAAAAAAATTAAAAAAGCCATGTTGACCAAAATGTGTTTTCTGCTTGCTTTCAGGGAATCTGACTAAGCATATGAAGTCAAAAGCCCACAGCAAAAAATGTCAGGAGATGGGCGTGTTGGTATCTTCACTGGTGGATCTGGAAGCCGAAGAAGGTAAAATCCTTTACAGTACTTTATATATGACTTTTGCCTCTGAGAAAGGGTAGTTCAAGCACAAGATGTGGGGTGTTTTTGCTCCTTCCAGCTTTGCATGGGGCTGTAACCTCTCCCTGTGCTGCTGCAAGCTTGGCATTGTGGCTGATGGTTAAGAGATCAGTCCTGGTCCCCTCATTAGGATCTGGAGCTGCAGAGCTGAGTGTGAGCAGATGTTTGTGCTGCTGTCCTGCCAAGGAGATGCCCCTCTGCAGTATGGAAAGGAGCTCCAGGGAAGGACATTTCCATCCATCTTGGAATGATAGAATCATTAAGGTTGGAAAAGATCACTAAGATCATCTAGTCCAACCCATTACCACCATGCCCACTAAACCCTGTTCCCAAGTGCCACATCTTTGAAGGTCCTGCCCATCTGGCTGGTTGGATGACCCCAGAACACTCCAAATAACCAATGCAGACCCAGGGTACTCTGCCTGATTGAAGCAAACCTGGGCTGTGTCTGCAGATGCAGACAGAAGCAGGATGATCCAGCTCCACTGCCCCACTATTGGATGCATCAATAAACCAGGATGGGGTCAGCTGCTTCCCTCATCACCAGGTCATTGCTATGTGTGGAATAAAGGTGAGCCACCCTAAAATGACTTGGACGTTTCTCAGCAGATAAAAAGCTGGCAGAACCAAAATAACATGATGCTTTGACATTTAGTGGCATTATTCTGAATGCTTTACAAGATACTTTTACCCTGTCTCACCTGCTCATTTCTTTCATCCACTTCTGAGTGAACACAAAGTCTGTCCAAGGGTCTTTAACCCAGGAGCCTGTCCGTGCTGTGAAAAGCACATATGATTCATTCAGTAATTTCTCTCCAGCCTTATGGTGGGATATGCAGCTGAATTCCCCTGAAGTCATCCCAAAATGCAGCCTTGTAGGGAGGCTGGCCAACACTGGGCAGCAGCGAGGTGGCCATGAGCACTTCTGCCTCCTTCAGAAGCATTGAGGGAAAGGTGAGGAAGGTCTCCAGAAGAACATGGGGAAATCTCATGTGTCTCTTTGAGCTAGAAAAACAACTATTTTACCCCAGTCATTGGAGGCTGTGTTCTGACAGCTGCAAAGGGTCAGGCTATACCCATTCTTTCCCTCCCATCTCACCCCAAACCATTCAGGTTCCGCAGGGATCTGGGGTTAACAATGGGTTAACGTGAGCTCCATAAGGCACGCAGCACCACGGTTATTTTTATAAAGTGAGCATCAGCTGAGCGAGTTCTGGAGACAGTGCTGGGAGCCAGGGAATGTTAACTCAGCAGGAACAACAAACAGAGCTTATCACCCCGCTCCCCTGCCGAGGTCGAGTCCATCCTAGGCTTTGTTGGGAAAGGGGCTGGTTCCTGGGATGTGGCACTGCCACACGCCTCCTGATCTGTAGGTAATTAAGAGTCATCAATTGAGATCCTGCAGTGGGAACTGCGTTGCCCATGTGGTTTGTCCCCGCATTGGTTAATTAAGCAGTCTTGGGGCCATTTGCCTGCAGTCATCCCAAAGTAAGCCGCAGGTCCTACGATGACCCTAGTTCAGGCAATTAATGCACCTCCCAAAAACTATCGAAGCATTGGCATCAGGATGGTACGCTCAGCTTGCCAACCAGGATCCGTGGCTGGTACAGCACAGCTTCACCAGCCCAAGCCCCATGGTGTAGCAGCTCCTGGTGTAGCAGCACTGCACCCTTTGGTCTAATTCAGGTTGGATGGGGCCCTGGGCAGTCTTGTCTAGTATTAAATAGGGGGGTTGGTGGACCTGCTTGTGGCAGTGGGGTTGGAGATTCATGATCCTTGAGGTCCCTTCCAACCCAGACCATTCTGTGATTCTGTGATTCAGGCTGGATGCAGTCCTGGATGGCCATGGGATGAAGACATGGGAGAAACAAAGCACCCCACTACACTTTCACTGGTATTTCCAGAGATTCCCACAGTGCCTTTCCCATCCTCTGTATCTCCTTTGCTCCCCAGTTTACTTTCTTAAAGCCATCTCATTCATGCAGCCAACAGTGTGCTGCCGTGCTTCAAGGGGTGGTTCTCTTCCTGCTGAAATTTCTGGGCTCTTGGCTTTGGCCCAACTCTTTGGAACAACCTTTTGGCTGGATTGAGACACAGTGTGCTTAGCTGTGGCCTTTCTACAGGAAGACATGGCCAAAAGGAAACCTAGCTGGGGATTCCAGAGGAGCTGCCCTAAAGGAGAGCTTTTTGTCCTCCAGGACCCCCCAGACCCTTCTCTGCAGGGCTGCTCTCAGTGAGTTCTTCTCTCAGTTCTTTTCCCAGTTCATAGAATAATAGAATGGCTTGAGTTGGAAGGGACCTCAAAGATCATTTAGTTCCAATCCCTTTCTGAATTCTCCCATTCTTCTCCAAGTTCTTTTCCCAGCTCTCCCAGTTATTCTCCCATCCAGGCAGGGAGAAGAGAAAAGAGGTGCAGGAAGAATGAACTTCCTGAAGTGCAGGAAAAATGAACAAGTCTTTTACAGTGAGGCACTGGAACAGGTTGCCCAGAGATGTGGTGGTAGCCCCATCACTGGAGGCTAGATCAGGCCCTGGACAACCTGATGGAGCTGTGCATGTCCTTGTTCATTGCAGGGGAGTTGGACTAGGTGATTTTTAAAGGTCCCTTCCAACTCTAAGGATTCTCTCATTCTATAATTCTGAGTGTTGATTGTTTGAGCCCGAAAAGCAGCTGTTATTTTAAACCTTTCCATTATAGTCAATTAGAACTAATGAATCAGTCAGTGGAGTGTGACTTTTGAAAACCTGAAGATTAGAAGTCCTATTTCAGTTCTGAGGACAGAGCTGTAGGGGCTCACTGTGCGAGTTGGGTGGGTGCTTTGTTCCTTGTTTCATTCAGCCATTCCCCCCCCCGGCTCACCAAGGGACAGTGGCAAACAGGGTCAGATGAGGAGGATGAGCTGCTCTCAGCCTTTGGCCTCTTTCACAGAAAAGGGGTGTAAAGCTGAGAGCTCAACAGAAAGGCTGGAACCACCCGCTTGAGGATGTGATTTTTGGCCATCATCAAATCATTGGTCCCCAGTGGCACACGGATACCAGTGAGGAGATGTGCTGTGGAGGGATGGGAGCCCACAAGCTCCAGGACAGGGCTCCTCGCCTTGTTGCTGTTGGCTGCACAGCAGCTTGCTGGAATGCATTGCACTGTCTGGACTTCATTGCATTATGCAAGAAACCCGTGTAATTTTAGAATTACAAAAAATATACAGTCCCCGTTTCCTCCCATTGATGGAGACCATTCGTGTTTGTGTAAAGGGGACCGTCTGCCAGGGAGGAATGCAGAAAGGTGAAAGCAGAAGGCACAGTTGTCAGCGGAACGTTTCTGTTCTCTCCTCCCCTCTTCTTTTTCACCTGGTTAAATCTAATACCGAACCCTTGCTGAAATTTCAAATATTCGGGAGGCCCTTTGCTCATAAATGCCAAGCAAATCCCAAATAAAACAGCTGAGAAGATGGTCAGAAAATCATATTTGGTACTGTAATCGTTGGAGGTATGGGGATGGATGAGAAGAGAGCAGAGGAATGACAGAACAGCGAGTGAGGAATCGGAGATTGCAGCTCGTCACAGTGTGGTGGGTTGGAGATCGCCTTCCCATGGGGGCTCAGAGCAGAGCCTGCTGTTGAGGAGTTTAATTAAAAAAGTAAAAATGTGCCACAGCCCAGCCCAGGAAGAGAGCTGTGCTCCCTTCTGGGGGCACGTGGGGAGGGAACAGCCGTTCCTACAGCTCCCTGGATTATTTTCAGCTTGAGCCGTATTTCACTTGATTGTTTTTCTTTCTATTTAAGGGGCAGGGGAAAGAAGGGGGTGTGACTATAAAAGGAGATTGGAGCATAATTCTTCGCTGTTGTATTGGTTTGGCTTGGTGTGATTGCACCAGACTTGTGCAATACCACGAGGGTAACGCAGATGTAATGAAACAGCATGCAGAGCCCTACGTGCCGTCAGTGGGGCAGTTTTTCTCTCCCTCTCTGTGTTCTTCTCCTGATGTGCCCTTGCTCTCCCCAGCCGCTCAGCAGAATGTTTTTCTGCTGCAAAAATCCATGTCTGAGCTCTCTATGGAGCCTGCGAGGATCCTGCAAGCACCGTCCCTTTGGGATGCCCCAGGGCTCACTGAGCTGTTCCCCCCTGTGGGAAATACAAACAACACCCCAACGCAGAGCTGGCTTTGCATTTCCCTCACCCTGTCCTTCTGACCTTGCTGTCTGTGCGACTGAGGCCAAAACAAGGAGACCACACAGGAGACAGCAGCAGGGCTGGGGCTGTCTGTCCATCCGTATGCATGTGGATGTTGACCCCACAGACCAGGACAGTGATAGCTCATAGCTCTGGTACCGAGCTGCCTTCCCTTTCCAGGCAAGAAATATGCACGGGAGAATGAGTCTTTTTGGAATAATATTTGTTCTGAAGTCAGCTCCTCTGGGAGTTTGCACATAACCCAGTGCTGGATCCCGGGCCCAGCAAAGCCCATCATTATACAAGCATTGCACAATGATCTTGGTGGAGAGCTGCTAAATACATGTCTTGTTCCACTGATATCTGAGGGTTGCCAAATACTTTGTGAGCCTTTACCAGTAAGGTCCTGTTATTCAAAGTAAGCTGAATTAGGCATTTATCCACAGATCTGAGGGACTTCTCCCTGTGTGGCCACGTTCCTGCTGCAAGCCACCAGGTGTGGTCCAGCTCCACGCTGAATCCCTGGAGCCTCCCCTTGGCTCATCCTGCTGATGGCAGCCCTGCATGGAAAACTTCAGTTTGGAGAAGAGCAGCATCTTATGCTGAACAGGGCGGGGTGGAAGAAGAAGCCAGCAGTGCTGCAATTAGTACAAGTGTCAAAGCAACATTTCCTTTGCACAGCTGGGGAGCAAGCGTGCCTCAGCAGCACAGCACCCATCTCCTTGGTGCCTGGCGTTGGCACGCTTTGAGAAAGTGGTTTTTTCTGGGCCCCTCCAGAGCAGTAGGGACTTGTGGAAAGTCTCTGTCAGTGCCATTTTGTTGAGCTATAGTGACATCCAGTGGCTGTTCCCAACGGACCTCTGCAGGCTGAGTTTTTGTTTATCCAGCCCTGCTGCACATCTGGCATGGCAAATGCAGGTTTTCTCTGTGCAGAGCAGAGGATGAGCCAGCAGCTTGCTACTGACCTCATAAAGCTTCTCCTGGCTCTTTGAGTAGAAGAGAGTTATCCTATGGGCTATGGGATACTGTATGGAATACTCTATTTTAAATTCTTCACAATTTGCTTTCTTAAATATTCCATGGTTTACAATCTGTTATTACCAAAGCATCCCAGACATGTCTGCGTAATAGCTGGATTTGATCAAAATAAGGGAAAAACCACTGAGATATTTTCTTTTTTAATTAAAGCCCTGTCTTGCTAATATTTAAATGTTACATAATTTAGACAGGACAGGCCTGACATGTTGGCAGCCTGTGTTTTGTTAGTTGTGGACGTTATATGGGCACCACTGCAATAAAAAGCACATCGAAGGATGATGGTGCTGCTGATATCCATGTCTAGTAAGACCTTTCTTTGTGTTCCTGAAGCAGTAGAGGCTGTGTGATGGTGTGCAGCAGTAGTAGGGGCTGATGGCAGAGTGGTGGCAGAGCAATGGTTGGAACCAAAATTTGGGCAGAGCAGTGGTGGGATCCCAATGGTGGGATTCATGGGTTCAAGACAATGAAACCACCAGGGGGAGAGCTGGAGCAGAGGACAAGGCTGAAGTTTGAGGTGACTAATCGAGGAAATAACTGGATCTTCCTTCTTTTTGTCCCATGAGATCTTTGGAGCAGGTTTAGCACAAACCCACCCTCTGTTTGTCTTACACTTCTTGTTTTGTGTTTGTCTGTCTTGCAGGAACCAGTGAAGACCTATTCCAAGACTCTGAGGGGCGGGAGGGATCTGAGCCTATTGAGGAACACCAGTTTTCAGACCTGGAGGAATCTGACGATGATGATGACAATGAAGATGATGAAGACGAGGAGGAAGAGGAGAGCCAAGATGAACCACCCTTAAAGCTGCCGGAAGCCAAACACCCCGCCCCACCGATGCATTCTTCAGGTGGCTCTCCAGCTTCTCAAGAGGAAGGCACAGAAACAGCATCGTCCTTAGCCCAAGAAACTGCTTCCAGCAGCCAAAAAGTCGGTGAAGGCCAGCAGGGCTCCTCCTGCGGGCTGGAAAGCAGGTGGTCAGCAGACAGCAGCGACATCGCCGTGTGCCACAGCGCCCTGAGTCTCCACAGACCAGCTCTGACTTCCACCGAACAATTGGCTTCTGCTGAAAGAGAGTCTGTCACCAGGCCACCCATGTCCCTAGCCATGGAACTGTCAGCCTCAAAAGACACCTCCCCAAGGAAAAGGTGGTCTCCGAGCCAGGACTCCAGCAGAGCTGGCGGCAGCAGCAGACCAATGCTAGCGAGAAAGCACCTGTTAACCAAAAATGAAACTTCACCCAAACGTTTTTCACCCACCGGGGAGATGTCTCCTCTGAGGTGCCTGTCCCCAGGGAGGGGGCTGTCCCCATGTCCACGTGTCTCTCCCAGGAGGGAGGCATCCCCGCTGCGGTGCGCGTCGCCGAGGCTCGAGCTGTCGCCCAGCAGGCATCTGTCCCCCAGGAGAGAGCTGTCCCCTAGAGCGTACCTTCCTCCCGAGGGAGAGGCCTCATCTCCCAGCAGAGAGATGCCATCGGGCAGGTATTTATCGCTGAAGAAAACCTTGCCCCCGAGCTGCTCGGAGGCACCCAGGTACTCATCTTCTGGCAAGGAGGACGCGCCTGGGACGAGCAGATCAGCAGCAGATGACAAAATTCAGAGCTCATATCAAGCCCAGCATGGAATATTATCTTCGATGCCTCTACCTCACAGGTTCTTTGGCAAAAATGTACAGCTCTATGAATCCAAGCTGGTAAGTCCAAGCCCCCTCTTTCCCCTTAGTACGTGCTGTGGTGTGATTTTAATTGAGCGTTGCAGTGCAGAAGTGCAAAGTGACTGTAAATGTATACAGGGGAAAGTGAGAGCGAGCACAAAGGGTTTGCACCTGTTGGTCTGCCCATCTCAGCTGAGGGGGAAATAAAGTTGTCTCCTCTTCAACCCAATGCTGCTCACCCTGACCCAATCCATTCCTGCTTTTCCTGCTGACACAAGCAGTAAGGATGTGCTCTTAATAAAGCTTGTCAAAGTTTTAAAGAGATCTTTTTCTTGTGAATTTCAGACCCATTTCTTAGATTTCACCATTTAAAGTGAAACTCTACTCATTTTTCTATTGTCAGTGTCCTGAACCAAATTTGGGCTAGCCAAGGGTCTCTCACACCTTGATGCTTTCTCCTGGGCTATGTAGGCATGCAGCCCACTGTTAGATTAACTGCTGAGGAATGTTGGTTGGACATCTCTGCTTTTATCTCACCTCTCCAGCACAGAGAGCTTCTTCCCACTGCATCCAGAATATCATTTAATCTCTCTGTTGGACATATCACATCCTATGGGTAAAAGAAAATTGCCTGTTCCTCCCATTGCTACAGGCAAATTAGACATTGGGTCTTGTGGAGTGCTGAGAGATCTCCCATTCCTGCTGAGGTGCCTGGCTCTCCTGTAATTTGTGCTGATGAACATGAGATCCAGCCCTGGAGGACCCATCATACAGATGCTGACTCAGGTGTTCCCCAAAAAAGCCCCGTTGCACTATTTGCCTTTCTGTCATGTTCACAGCAGTGAATCATCTCTTGGTGCTGCCTCCCTACTGTTTCCCTCTATGAGTGTTTGCCTTACTTTCCTGGAGACCATCAGTTATTTTAGGCCCGAATTTTTGCCCACTTGAATGCTATTTCCCTCAGTTCTCAACTGCCTTTTGGGGTGAACCTCAGGGCTGTGAAAACCCCATTCCTTCTGCTCTGAAACATCTGCTAGGAAAACTACCCACTGGTGTCCTCTAAGCTCCCTAGAGCACAAAGGAGGCAGTAGCACCTATTCCTGCTTGCCTGCCCACTCTCACCTTTTTACTTACACTAACTTACCTTTCTGCTCACTGTCCTGCTCCTTTCAGAGCTGTGTTCATCAGATACCCAAACAGACCCCTGTGCTCCCAGCTAGTGTCCTTTGTAGGAATGGTATTCATCATTTAAAAATGATCTTAGCTGGGGCATAAGGCTTTTGTCCAGATCTGTGCATCAGGTCTCCCTGTGTCTGCGCCTCTTCCCAAAGGCTCCTGCTACAGGTCATCTCTCCCCTTAGTTGCTGTTGCACCATGGGGATTTGCTTGGGGTTTCCCAGCATCCCCACAGCAGTTCTGCCAAAACTTTGTGTGGATAAGAGTCATTGAGCAGGCATTGGGGCTGGTAAATGCTGACTAACTCATTGCTACCTTCTGTGGCTCTTGTTTTCTTCCTTTCTCTTTTGCTGCCTTCCTCTGCTGCCTTATCACAGAGATTCAGCTTGCAGGTCAGGCAGTTTTCCATAGCTCCACAAAGGATTCCTCCAGTGTATCCTTAAATCCCATAACCCCATCTTTACAGAAAATTTATTTCATTTTCTGTTGCTTCCTCTTCCTGGGAGTCCTGTCTAGGGGCTTAGTTATAACCTCATCACTAATTAATCCATTTCTGTTTAGCCACATATCTCTCCATGATGTACATTAGGAAACTATGTGAAGCACCGGTTGGAGAAAAAGGAAAAGGTAAATTGGTAGGGTGCTAACCTTGATTTGTGCAGACCACACCATGAGGGCGGTGGTGGGGACCTTTGATGGGAATGCTTTGTGCCAGACCAGAGTTAATGTTCTCAGTGCAAAATATCCTTGCAATTAGCAGCTGTGAGGATGTAACACTGTTTTAAGGAAATACATGAAAAATTGATAACAATGGTTTGGGCACTGAGGTAATCCATGTACTGATGGAATGCAAGGATGCAGAGAGTGTTAACATCTTCTGGTGGGATTGTGGAGGTGACTGATAATGACTGAACTCCTGGGCATGTGCCCCAACAGGCTGTGTGCCCGCTTGTACAGGCAAACACTGTGGGTTGTCTTGCTCCTTACCTTAAGGGTTTGGGAGCCCAAGCCATCCTGGATTGATTGATCTCTCACCAAATTAGAATAAAAAGTGCACAAAATCAATCCTTATAATGAGCATTAATGATGCTAGTGCCGTACCTTATGCGTTGCTCTGATTCGGCCGTTTCTTTTTCCCCATTTGGTGCAGAAGATAGAACCCAGGAGCCCACCACGCTCACCCGGCACCATGCAGCCCATCTGCTTCAGACCCTTGCAGGCACCTCACGAACTTCACACCCACAGCCGAGGAGAAGAGAATGTCTTCAGCCACCTCCCACTGCACTCGCAGCAGCTCGCAAGGACCCCGTACCCCATGATTCCCATCGGGGGCATCCAGATGGTCCAGGCCAGGCCAAGCACCCATCCCAGCCTGGTGCCCAGCTCTGTAATGTCCCTGCCAGGGGGACACTTTTCACCTGGTGGCAGTAGCTTTGAGGAGCCATGGGTGCCACGGGAACCTTCATCTGCATCTGTCTCCCCGGTGGCAAAAATTTCCAAATACGCGCTGTCCCCAGAGCCTACAAGCAGCGAGTGCTTGGAGGAGAAAATGAGGACTAGTGAGCTTAAGCAAAAGCCAGACCCGGAGGAATACAGGGTAAAAGTGTTTGCTGAGCCCAGCCCTGCGGAGCAACCGGGCCGCTCGGCATCCCCAGCCAACCCCAGCACCACCCGCCAACCCTCTCCAAAGCCTTCGACGAGCGGGGACAACCCCTTGACTAACCCGGGCGAGAAGCAATGTGGCAGCTCGAGCAGCCCTTTGGAATCACCACACTGCACTTTCACCTCCGAGCTCCCATCCCCGCCGCCGCCCCGCAGCCCACAGCCCTCCGGAGAGCCCCGCAGAGCCCCCAGGAGTCCCCATGCAGAGCCCACAGGCGTAGGTCACGCTCAGACAGAGGCGGGCGACAGCACGGGCAGTGCTTAAGCCCCCGCCATCTGTTCCACCTTTAGGCTTCCTATGTAAAATCAACAGACATTTTCAACACTATTTCCTTTAGTATAATCATCGCTATACGAAGCACTCTAGTGAATGACCAAACCCATGGAAGTTTCCTGGTTTTCTTTGTCCTGGTCTGGTATTATCTCCACATGTATGCAGTTACTTGTGCCTTTTTCTATACCTTTTGTTGCTTGAAATGTACAAAAATGTTTGAGGCTGTGAATATTTTTTTAGAGTTTTTTGGAAAGGGGTTTGTTAGACCTTGTCTTTTTTGCCATTGAGGTGTGCGTTCTTATGGGCCTGAGAGATGCAGAAAGGAAAGGGTTAAGCATTTTAAGAGGAAGAAGATGCACTGAAAACAAAAACAAAGAAAAGAAAAACTTTTTTTTTTTTAATATTGATTCAATGATTAAAAAGAAAACCAAACCCTCACTCCTGTGTACAGAAGTTTATGATTCGTATTTATTACATGCTTTATTTAATTCTCGCAAAGTGCTTGTTGGTTTTTTTTCCTTGCATCCCTCTGATTGCCTATGGTTGTGCTTTAAACACTTGAGACTGCTTTACATTTGAGAAACGTGTTTACCCTGAACTTGTAAATGAAGCTAGCACTTCCTCAAGGAGGGGGAGGCTGTTCACAGCGAGAGAAATTGTCGCTCCAGGAGAAAAGCTCATCGTGAACATCTCTCCCTCCTGCAGAACATCAAAGCACTTTTTTTTTTTTTATTATTCAAAAAAAAAAAAAAAAAAAAAAAAAAAAAAAAGGGACACACAAAAAGATATAAATTCTTCTTCAAAGATTTACCTGCAAGAAGGTAGGAATGTATCGAATGTAGCCCAGTGCTGGGCTTCATCCCTCCATCCCCATCACTGTGCCCAGAGCCCTCTCCATGGTCCTGGAGCCCTTCTACCCCTGGCTCTGAGGGAGGCTCTCACCCCGCTGCCATTTCTCCTCCCTGGTTTTTAGGTGGTGGATGAGCTGCTCCATCCCATCCCGTGGGTTTGCTCCTTGAGCTTTAGGGATGCTGGAGGAGACGGTGCTCTGCTTGATGACTCCGTGCTCTGTTTTCTTTGTATTTATTTATTTAAGCAGAACATCGCCACGTCGCCCTCATTGAGCAGACGGGCTCTTGTGGGGTGTTTTGTAAGGAGAAGTTACAGCGCTGAGTGCTTTGCAGTCAGCGTGTTCTGCATGAACGGTGACTTTTCCAAGAGCAGACTTTCCCCTCTGAGCTCCCGTAGCAGAGTATTGGCCCCACTGCCCTCAGATACCAAATACAGAGACCGACGGAGTCGCTCCGTCCATGTGCTTTGAACCATGGCCATTGGGTTTGTGGCTGCCCCAGTGGACAGCAGAGGGTTATCAGAAGGTTTTCTGGTCTATGAAATCTGTACAGACCCCCTTTTTTTTTTTTTTTTTTTAAATTTTGACAGCAACTACAACAACAACAACAACAACAACAAAAAAAAAGAGAGAAAGAGAAGATGATATAAATATTTAACCAGTGGTTCAGTTCTATCTTCTTTCAGAGCTGTTCCAGTTTATCGGGTACGTAATACACTTTTTAAAAAAACTAAAAAAAAAAAAAAAAAAAAAAGAGAAAAACATGAATGAGAACATATTTCCTTGCCAGACTTGATGAGCTATGAACTGTTCCCGTTTTACGGGCAAATACTATAGATTTTTTTAATGATCTGTGACTTTTTTTTTTTTTTAATTATTTTTATTTTTCGCTTTTCTTGTAAAGGGAGTTAAGTACAAAAGAAGATATCATGGAAATAGCATTAAGGCTGTGACACTGACCAAAACAATGTCCAGAAAGAACCCATGTCTACCTTAATCAGCACTTTTATTGAGCTCCCCTTCAATCTCCTTGGCCCCAAGCCTGATCCTGCTTTCATATTCACTCAAGTCCCATGGCAGAAGCCAAGGCTGCAAACCCATTTCAGCCCAGTGCCTCTGCTCAATGGAACCTTAGGCACCAGCTTCAATCCCTCCCGCCCATTGGAACAACACTGAAGTGTGATGACTCCCCCATGTGCATCGCTGGCCCTAACCCTTCCCCAAATTCAGCACTGGGTTCAGATTTCCTGGTTTTTGCCACCTTTTTCTGCCTTGTCACACTCTTAACATTATTCCAAGGTAGCTTTTTGTATTTAATTTTTTAAAAAATATATATACATATATATATATATATATATATATAGCAACTGTACATAAAGAAAAACAATGCAGCAGTTGTGCACTCAGCATCCTGGTTTCATTTGGTGCATTTGACATGAGCTTTGGGCTAGATCAAATTTGCTCAGCTTTCTGTAATTGTATGTTAATCCTTGACCTGTTGGCACTTGGCACGGGTGTGGGTTTTTTCTTCCTTCTGTCATTCTGAACAGAAAAAAAAAAAGAAAAACAAAACAAAACCTAACAAAATCCAGAAACCCCTCAGCGCATTGTTGTTGTTGTATTTTTTTGTTGTTTTGTTTTGTTGGTGTTTTTTTATTTTTTTTTATGATGATGACGACTTTTTTTAAAGCTTTTCCAGAAGCTCCAGATGAGCTCTGCATCCCAGCTGCAGAGCATCCCAGCTGCCTTTGGCTAAAAAACCAGGGTGAGGAGGTGCAGGGGCTGTGCAGCAGCGATGCTCCATGGCTTGTGCCCTGCAGCCACAGAGCGGGTGCATGCGGGGACAGCCAAAAACTCAGGGGCAAGGTGAACAATCTCAGCCTGGTCCTGCTGCCCAGCGGGCACGGTGGGGAGGCTCTGGCTGGGGTGACATGGTGCTTCATGCGATACCTAACGGGCGCAATATGGCCTATTGTAGGCAAAAAGAATAATAATAATAATAATAATAATAAAAATTAAAAAAAAATAATTGATATTTAAGGGCTACTAATCCCGCTGACAGCTCAGAGCTCTGCGGGAAGGGCACCAGCATCTCCGCCTGTGGGCAGGGCAGCATCCCAGAGCTGTCCCATCACAATGGGGGGACTCTGAGCGCTCTGGGTGCCCCCAGCGCCTTGCACTCGTGTGTTGGCACTGCACTGCACCTTATTGCAGGTCTGGAGCCCCCTGTTCCTGCTAATTCCTACCTGGAGCACCTGCTGTCCCTGCTGGCTATTTCCTACCGCTGGCTTCTTGCTGGGTGAAAGCTTTTTGCACGCCACACTTTTTCACCTCACTCTGGGTGTCCACTCTGTCTGCCAAATGGCGATGAGAAATTCAGATTTGCTTTCTGATGGGTGAGTTGGTTTCTGTGCAGGCACTTTGCAGAGGCAGGGAGCAGCACTATTTCTAAGAGAATGTATTAGTCACGCAAATAGGCAAATGAAAAACCAAAGCTCAACCCTTGCTTTCCATCAGCAGGTGGAAATAAGCCCTCCTGCTTTCCATCTGACAGAGCTCCTTAGTGCACAGCCAGCTGTCCCCCTGCCCCTGAGTGCGTTGCTCAATGGCAAACAGTTGGTCTTGCATCCAAAAAATGATTTTGCAAGAAGGTCTTGTCCCATAGTCTTACGTAAGTTCTTGAGGCCATTTTGTTGAGTATCCAGAGTCAGCGGAGCACTCCTACGTGGACTTGTGCTGAAGCACTCCACAAATTCCCGTCATGTCCTTTTGCTCATAGCTCAGCCTGAGTTCTGCTGCTTCTGTCAAGGTCACAGCAATTTGCAGGATGTAGGGTCCCCCTGAATGGCCCCATCTTTGGAGGCAGCTTTCTGCCACCTCTGATTACTCACAAGTTGTTGGCTGGGCACCCAGGGACTGCAGCAAGAAACCTTTTTGTTTGTGATGGTGTGGCCATGACTTCACAGTGCATGGCTGGGGAATGCATTTCAACACTTTCTTCTTAAGGGTGCCCATGAGGTCTCACTGCTGGTGGTGACAAATGCACCCTCTGTCCCCATCTCTGTGTTCATTGGGCTCCATCGGTTGGGTTTCCCTGAAGCCAGCACTCATTTCTACCTGGTTTTTGTTTCCAACCCACAAAAACAGCACCTGAACAAGCAATATACGTGGTGACGTTGAAATCAATACAGTTATTCCATGCAAAATCCTAAAGAATTTGATCTAGCCCCATTCTGTGTTCTTGCAGTATCACTGCTTATGTGGGTTCATCATGTGCTTCTCTTTTTTTCCTTTTTTCTCCCCCCGTATTTCCACCTCTTGCACAGTATTTACAAATAAAACCATATTGTAAATTATTTACAAAAATAAAAAAAATTAAAAAAATTAAAAAATAAAAAAAAATCAGTCCTGATGGCATAAGACCAATCTGTTTTCATTACTGAGATATGATGGCACTTACGATCACTTTAGTAAATGTAATGTAAAAATAATAATAATAATAATAATGTGTACGCAAATTTAATATACATGGTCTCATGTAAGATAAATATTTGCCTTTTTTTCTAAAAGGTGTATGTATTCTGTAAGTGGAATAGTCTGTAGAAAGTTTCTATATGTTCTTAAAATGGCAATACATTCCAAAAAGGTACTGTAAATATGTACAGCCTACAATGTAATTTGGTAGTTTTGCCTGTCAGTTTATTTTAACTCCAGTTTCTACACTTGCATCTTGCAATGTCTGTATGGTTATATCAGTGCAAAAAAAAAAAAAAAAAATGCAGGTAAAAGCACAGTCTGATGTATGAAAAAGGAAAAAAAAAAAGATAAGAAAAACAAAAACAAAAAAAAAAACAAAAAACGACAAAAAAAAGATAAAAAGAAGAAGAAAAAATACTCAGTATTTGATGTTTGTGACTCTTATTGTAAATGACATCTGTACTGTGAATGAGAAGTTTTTACAAGTATAATATTGCCTTTACTACAGCTCAGATTGTCTGCTCAGTCTGAGCATATTTTTAAAAAAATAGCATGTTGGAATAAATTTTTAAATCCCAACATATTACTGTTTGCATGGCTGGTAGTCTTTCATTTCCATCTTATTTATCACAGATTGAGACTTGGGTTGGAAGATGACAGAGGCAAATTCGGATACCCAATTAAGTTGCAAACCCCCATCCCCACTGCACTGGGTGGTGTCCCATCCAAAATGCCACACGGGCACTGCTGACATTTCCTAGAATCATAGCATCACAGGGTTGGAAATTTCCCTGCAGCAGTGATGCAAGGGATGCTCTGCAGGGCTGGATCCAACTTAGCACACCGATGGGAGACCACAATGGAACGCAGCGCTGGGTTGGGGCTTTTAAGTGATGCCCCCAATCCTGGATGTCCTTTTGCCACCTCTTTACTGCATCCTCACCAGGTTAAACATGTTGAGGATCTGATGCAGCCATCCCTGCCTCAGCTCCAGTTGGGGGATGAGGGGAGGCTCTGTGCAGGGCTGAGGCTCCAGTGCTGCTCTTGAAGTGAGCGTGGACATTAAAGAAAAAAAAAGAGAGAGAAAGAAGGAGGGGGAAAAAATAGAAAAAGGTAAAAAAAAAAAAAAAGAAAAGCCTTGATTTCCCCCTGCTAATTGTCCTCCCGAGGAAGCAGGCTGCCTTCAGCCCATCCGTTCCCTTTCTGCTCCAGCAAACCCTTCTCACCGTGCAGCTTCACCCCGTCACCTCCTGCACTGTGCTCAGCCTTTGATGGACGGCTGCAGATAAGTTCAGGGACTGAAGCAGGGGGGAGCCTTTGCAAAATAGGTCAAGGATGGCGAACTCTATCTGATTTCTAGCTGTGACCGTGCAGCTGGGACTGAATCAGCCAGAGGAACCAGCTGCTCCATGTCCAAACATCAGATCTGCACAGCACTGGGTGACAACTCCCCAGGGGTTCTCCCATGCTGGAAGGGCTGAGCGAGGTATGGGAGCTGTGTGCTGAGCTCTGGGTGCTGAATGTTGGCAGCTGAGCTCTCTGTGTTGCTCTCTGCATCCCTCGTGCCCAGCGCTCCCTGCTCCAAGGCTGTGCAATGTGCGGTAGGTGTGGATCCACCATTTTCAGCCCGTGCATCCAAAGAGCCCCAGTGGGCTCAGGGAAAGGTGTGAGAGTCATGGCCTGGGGAGGATCAATCCTTTATGGCCCAAATAACACTTTGTATTGTCCTTAATGGCAGCAGAAGGCAAGAAGTTCTGGCGGACGGCTGCAGGCAGGTGACGTTTGTTCCAGATGTGCTGCCAGCCCCTCCATGTGTGCTTCAGCAACTCAATAGAGGAATTTTTCCTTAAGAAAAAAAAAAAAAATTCTCCAGTTCTTAAAAAGAGAGTCCTTAATGGCAGACAGAGCTGCCTGCAGAACGTGGCTAATCTCGCATGCCTGGATCCACTTTGGTTTACACAAATCTCCAGTGGCTCCAATGCATCAGATATCCCAAGAAATTCCTTCTCCTTTTGTTTTCAAGACACAGAAAGCAGACTTTTCCTCCCCTGTGAAGCCAAATGTGGCTTCAAAATATGAGACGCAGTTCCCCATCGCTGTGTGAAGGGTGGGACAAAGCTCTAGAAATCACTGCTTCTCTCTGGGAGCCTAAAATTTCTTAAGTTCTTCCAAAATACCAAAGCCCTACAGGGAAGCTCTTTCCTACTTCTGAGGTTCAGCCTCAGAAGCTTGATTTGAGAACCTAAAAAATATTAGAATCATAGAACTGTTAAGTTC